TAATGCCATGGCAAAAGTTTGAGCAAAACATGCTAACTGTTCTGTCTTTGGCTTCACAGACGAGCACAGAACACTGTTTAGAGTCCCAGCCTCAGAGGAGACAAGAGAGCAGTGGATTTATTGATTTACTTTATATTGCTGCTGCCACACCGATCTAATATAAACATGCGATTTATTTCCCAGCCGTTTACCTTCACAGACATAACCGAACATTTTTGTAACTCGTGTGTTGTTAACGTAAACTTGTGTGTGAATGAGAACTTAGTTTAGTACTCACATGCTGTGACAGCCGCTTTCTGTCCGTGTGCACTCAGAAAACCGTATATTAGACGTTTAAACTAATATGGTTTAAAACGCATGATTTCAGCGCGATAAACATGATAATCAGAACCAAAACAGATGTTTTTTAGCAGGTCCAAGCTGTAATGGCACAGCTCTATTCTGGAAAAGGGGCGGGGAGCAGCAGCTTATTTGCATTTAAAGAGACAGGCCCGAAAAAAAGCCCGTTTCTGCTTCCACTTAAAATAGGCATTTTCAAAATGATATAATAAATGATCTGTGGAGTATTTCGAGCTGAAACTTCACAGACACATTCTGGGGACAACAGAGACTTATATTACATATTGTAAAAAGGGGCATAATATGTCTCCTTTAAAGGGACAGCAGTCTATAAATGCCTGCTGCTGTCATTAATGCTAATCAAACAACAAAACACAGCTTTTTATTTTACTCTTAATTATTACATTTCTGTTACATTCCTGAATACTACCGACTTTATTTTATTTGTAACGTTGTTCTGATGTATTTACCTATGCTTGTAATTTGTGTATTTGTTCTTATTTTTTTTACTGGTTGTTCACTTGACTTTAATCATGTTTGATCTTTCTTAGTTAGGCTAGTAGTTTTTGCTGTGGTATCGAAGAAGTACTTAGCTTTAAGTAATAAATGGAAAGCAAAGTTATATTGAAATATTTTCTTTTCTTGCTGATCCGAAAAACGTTCCGATCCGTGACTCAAAAACCGTAATAAGTTCCGAACTGTGAGTTTTGTGATCCGTTGAACCACTAGCTGGTATAACAGCATATACTGGTGTAAAGAAAAGAGTCAACTGGAAGATGTATACTTATCTGAACAGCTATTAATGACTGCTTCATGTTGTCTATTCAGTTTTTGAAAACAGTGACAGACAATTGACAAATTTCAAATAAATGCAGTTCATATGACTGTTTTTTTTTATTTTATTGTATTTGTGACCAAATAAATGCTGCCTTGATGAGAATAAGAAACTTCTAGTCACAAACATTAATAAAAAATTAAACTGACCCAAACTCTTATACAGTAATGTAAGAAAATTATCCACTGAATTACTTGCAATTCTGATTCCATACCTTGAATCGGGCAAGATAGTCGCCAATGACGCTTTGTTGCCAGATTTCCTGAGCTGTTTTGGGCGTTTCTGGTAGTTTCCCTTTGTCGTCTTTGCTCTGTTTTTCAGACTCTGCCTTCAGCGTCATCTCCAGGTTTTTATACTTCTCCTACAAGAAAGATTACATGTTAAAAGTTAAAAAACAATTTCGTTGGCTAATAAATAAATGGAAGGATCTTAACATCTCTGGGGCACTAAAGTGTCATGATCACCTTCTTCTTGTCAGAAAGCTCGTTCCACATGCGGGCCAGTAGTCTGGTGAGCTCCATGTCAGAAAGATCAGACCTTTCCTGTTGAAGTTTTGGACGCTTCTCCTCAGAGAAAATAAACATTGCAGACACAGGAGGCTTGGGCTTCTCTGTACTGGACTGTTGGGATAACAAAGAGGGAAGAAAAGAAAGAATGGAAGGGAAATAAAGATGTGAATTTGTAGTTACTGTAAGCTAATTTAAATACCAATCCTTTAAGTTACTCAAAAATGACTGACAGGTGAACTGACCTTTGCTTTAGAGTTCTTCTTTTTGGAAGCGGGACTACTGCCTCCACCTCCCTTTTTAAAGCGGCCCATCTTCTGTTCTGACAGTATTCTCTGCTGTTCCTCCTCGGAGATACTCTGGGATTCACAGACAACATGTTTAAAATGCAAACCGAACAGAAAATGGCGCAAACAATACACCGAAAGCTGAGTGCCTGTTGTCAAAAAGGTATACTTACTAATAAGTAGCGATTCATCTCAACTTCATATTCTTTCTTTTTCTGTGTAGAGAAGAAAAAATAAATTATGAAAGAGATAGACAAACTTTCATATGTATCCATGTCATTATTAATGTGTGGCTGAACTGTTTACAAACAGAAGGAAGCATGCAAAATAAAAGCAATCTGCATAAATGTGTTACAAACCTGCTCACAGCGCTTTTGGTAGGCTTCTTTCTCGCTCTGTGTGAGGAGTTTCCAGCGCTGGCTGCACATGACCATACGCTCTGTACTAGGAACGTCTTTCATACTGGACATCAGCTCAGCACAGAACATAGAATAACCATTACTGAAAGAAAGACAAAATGAGAGATGATGAAAAACGTCACTTTAAACTTACTGTACAGAAACTCATACAAAAAACAGCGCTCTACTATTCAAAATCACTTTCGGCAATTGAAATAAATTGAATAAAACAAGCTAAAATTACTAAAACTGAAATAAATTAAATCTAAATGTAAAAATAAAAACAAACCAAATAAAAATGACTAAAGCACAAAAATAATACTAATGCTTAAATATAAAAATATATAAATAAATATTATAATAGATAAATTATACTAAACTAATACTGACAAGAAAGATAGAAAGAAAACAAACATGAACATTTCCAGGCCATATTCCCCCCCCGCCAAAAAGAAATCATATTTTCCAAAAAGAAAACAAAACTTATTATCAGGTAAACTTACGAAGGCGGTTTGTCTGGCCGCCCATCAAACCTGTCCTTGAGCTGTCTCTCTGCTTTGGTCAGAGTGGATTTGACGATGTTCTCCTCCGTCATGTTCATCTCTGGGTGCTGCTGGATAAACTCGCGCATCTTTTCCTAAACAAGGATGGGAAAGATCAAACGTTACAAAGAAGCCCACTACTGCTGGCAAATATGCCATATAACATGCAAACGTCTTTACCTCATACAATTTCTGCTGCTCCAAAGACTTTGTGATCCACTTCATCCTCTTCTTGTCTGAGAGCTGTGGCCACTGCTTGCCAAGACTGTCCTTGATGTCTTTGGTAGTCGCCTTGAGAGGTAAAAACAAAAGTGTTTTTCAAGTGCATGAAGAAGCCAGCTTCAAATTCTTTATGAGTGTGAGTGTGTGTAGAGCTCACATCTGGACGTGCTTTGAGAAAGGCCTTCTTCTCATGGCAGTACCACAGTTGCTGGGGCGTCTTGGGCTTCTCTGGAACATTGGACTTCTTGTTAACGTTCTCAAGAAGGTCAGGATGATCTTGCCTATTAAGAAACACAAACTCTTTGAGAAAAGCCATGATTTAAAAATGTAAATGTGATGGTAAAGTCTCTTACTTGAACTTCATCATGCTGAACATGAAAGTCTCCTTTTCTCTGAGAAAGTCTTTCACATATTTCTCCTGTTGACAAAAGGTTCAGTCATAACAAACAGGTCAGTCAAAACAATGCCTGATTTGTTGACCGATCTAGAAAGGTATAACTCAAAACAATAGGTGATCCAGACCAAACAGAAGACCCCACAAAAGAGCACCCACAGATTTGAAATCCACTAAACACCAGATGAATCCTAAACCTTTAGTCAATATACCATTACAGTATCTCCATAATTTCAATTTCCCATTTGCCTAAAAATCCACATCAATTCCTCTTTTATAGTGGTTCTTTAAAAATTGTACAGACTATGATTTAGTGAGGTTTCGTTTTAATTTTATTGCACTCACTTTTTTACGCTCTGGGAGCTCCTTGTATTTTTTGGACAGGATTTTTGTGAGATCTAGGTTGCTCATCTCTGGATGTAATTTAGCATACTTGGCACGTTTCTCCATAAAGAAACGGAAATACGGTGTCAACGGCTTTTTGGGGAAGTCTGGGTGCTTCTGCAGAGAGGACAAATACACAAAAGTTAGTATTTGCTACCATTGCAACCGACACAGGGAAAACGCTGCAATTCTTATTCCAAGTTTTCAGCACTGAGCCATTAAGATTGTCTACCTTCAGCTTCTTTCCTTTGTATGGATTTTTGACGTAGTCCTGCGCATCCACGATCAGCTCAGTAAGGGTGCGGAATTTGCGTATCTGAGTGAGGAACAGGAATTTTAATGTGACAACTGCATAATCATTGTCCTACAGCTTGTCACATACAAAGGTTTTTTTCAAATACTAATATCTATTGATCAACAACTAACACATTTTTGATGCATGTTTTTCTAGTCATTATTACAACATACAATTGAAAACCACTGGTTACTGACCAGCGTACCTCACGTGACACTTCCTGCCATTTCTGTTTGCACATCTCCCCAGAGTACGAGTTGAAAGCCACTTTCTCCCAGTCCAAATGGGACTCGGACGTCTTGTACTTGGCCAGATCTTTTTCTGGCAGGTTCCCCTTTATGGCATCCAACAGCTTCAACAGGTCATCCTGCACCCAAACTGTAATAAAACATAAGGCAAAAATAATCTCTGAGAACCAGTAAACACATCTTCATGCAAACAAGAAAAGCTTACACATTTGTACTACACACAAAGTTTAAATACAGGTTCACATGCAGTGGGAAACATGGTTCATGCCGAGAGCCATCTGTTTTGCAAGGCAGTTATTGTCATGAGTATGAACCTACTTATTCAAAGCAACTTACTTTGAATGCAAGGTATACATTTTATCAGTCAATGCATTCCCTGGGAATCAAACCAATGATCTTGGCAATGCTCTACTGTTTGAACCATCAATTCAACAGACATTTAGAAACCAAAATTCTCTTTGACTATTTTCCTATTAAAGCTATAGCCATTACCATTCATGGCAAAAAAATATGTATAATAATATTCATAAACAATTGAGAACCCCTGATCTAAACGATTCATGTTTCTTACCGGGTTCTTTAGCAGAGGAGTCCATTTCTCCATTCATTGTCTGGAATCACTCTAGAGAAAATTAAATTAATTATGTTAAGGATTACAAACGTTGAGGTAATTCGAGGTTGAAACTCATACTTCGATGGCTTTAACACTATAGTTTATTATCAATAGTTTTTTTTTTTATTATTATTGAACACTTGCTTAGGGAATACAAAAGTGAAAAACATAAGCCAAGGAAAGAAGAGAGAGAGAGAGGAAATAATAATAATAATAATAATAATAATAAAATGACCACAAAAAAAAAACAATTAAATTAAAAATGTATAAATATGTAAATAAATGGAAAATAATGAACAGATCACATAATAAACACAACAATCTTTCCTACAAAACATAAAAATTTTACAAAAATTATACACTAAAAAACACTAAAAAGTGAGCATACATTCAAACTTTTAGTTGCCTTTTTGTTACAGGAGGTAGACAAGGATTTAATATAGATCTTAATATGTTCTAGAAAGTGAGAAAAATGGGGGGTAACTTTCATAATCTTGCATTTGTGAATAAGATATTTTGCAAGCAAAATAATCAGGTTGCAAAGAAAGTAAACATTTTCATATTGCTTCTCAAAAGTGAAAAATCCAAACAAAACATCTTTAAAGTAAAGATCAAAGTCATTATGTATGAAGTTCACAATGAACTGGCAAAGGTCTTGCCAAAGTTTTCTTGTATGAACACAACGCCAAAAAGATGCAAGACAGTTTCTGGTTTATTATCAATAGTTTTAACTAAAAATGACAATTATATTTTTCAAAAATGAATATCGTGTTTATGTTGTTAAAAATCCTTTTTTTTTCTTTCTTAAAAGTTTAATGAGTACCGTGTAGGTGTTTTGTAGGCTAATGTCTCGAAAACAGGAACTGCTGCTTGAAGAGTGGAATTAAAATCCAGCCCGACACATAATGGTTGATGTTCATTACACCGCCCCTAAGCGTTTACGCTCCATCGTGAGACAGAGCCCACTGCTTGTGACGGTTTCAAAATCTCAAATAACTCTGCAGTCGACACCAGCAAGAGCAGCCAATCCGTCTAATCTTCCATTTTGTCTACAGAACTAAGACTTGAAACGGCTTCTCCTGCACTCGGCGCGCTTTTGCGAGGCGAGCGTTTCGTGAAGTCGCTCGAAATTGGAGCATATTTTCGGCGGACGAGCGGATACTGGGAGGTACTACAGGAGGAGGAAGGAGCTTTTTGGGCGATAGGCAGGCAGCTGCCTGTAGACGGACCAGCTGACCACGGACCGGGATCTGCTTTCGGTCTGCGTTGAGATGGGGAAACACAGCCAGGGATCATGATGAGTGACTGCTACAGCATGCAGCACCAGAGCCTGCCTCAAAACCAACGGGGCGCGGGTCTCCGCTTCCGCCACGGACGCGTTCTGGGTCGCCCCCTTTGATTCATAGCGACTGTTTTCAAAATGCTTGAACATGAAGGGCTAACGTTAGTCATACTCTGATGTCGTTTAGCAAACGTGTGCGCCGACTGAATTAGTCACAAAATGGCTTTTTCCAGGGCGAGGCGTCGCCGCTGCGCTGAATGTGTAATGGCGGCGCGCGAGCCAGCAGAGTCCAGCTTTAAAATAGAGCCCGGCGGAAGGGCATTTTAACCTCCATGAAATGTTTCTAAAAAAGTGGATGGCATGATAATCAGACCCCGTTTGGGCAGAATAGAGCGTTGCTACGATATAAATGCTCAGAAAAAAAAAACTATTTTGTGGATTTTAATCGCATTTATGAACAAAAGCTTTGTAACGGGGCTCTAAATGTAGACCAAAACACGTCCAAGTGTTTACGTATTTATAAGGGTCTATTTAAAACCATTGTTTAACGTTTTCCATATCAAAACCTCATTAAATTACATAATTGGTGCTGTTTAATGTTTAAAACGGTTTTCTGATTTAAATTACCCAGCTTAATTATAAACTCAACAACATATTTTGTGTCCACACGTGTTAAGAGCTACAAATGATAGCTTAGAAATATCTAAAAAAATAAGTTTATTGAAATAAAATGTTACCGTGTTAAACCGACCTACACCGGAGCTATCCGGCTGTAACTAGCACTGAATCCCCCTAAAGCCCTGGTGAAATCTGAACAAAGTCGTCAAAAATAATCCTAAAATGCGACTAAAATCAAGCCTCATTATCGGCTGTTAAAAATAACTTGTAGCCGGCGTCCAAAATGTCCTCTTACCGTGAAGAAATCTGGTTGTTTACCCCGACTTTCGAGTGACAATGAATGCGGGGTGAAAGCACGGCGTGAGCAGCCCGTATGGCAGCAGGGTCTTCAAAGGCTTGAAAAACAAAAATGAAAGAAATATACGTGATTAATTTCACTGAACACGCGGTGATTAAAGCACAGTTATGACAAGCGACATCCACTCATTTAGAAATGAATCAATCTGGTGTATAAACGTGTCATTTAGTTCCCAAGTCACAATGGAAAAACGCAACAGCCGAGAGAGCGGACGCCTCAGTGGCGTGTCGACTGTTCTAGAGCCGCCATGCAACCCTCCATGCGCGCTGCAAGCCTAATTCACCTCCACCGAGAGGAAAAACAGCGCAAACGCTTCAAAACTCACCCTGCTTGCTCCCCAAACACAGATAACCGAAAAACTGTCAAATTTGATCGCGAGCTTTGCTTTCACGGCAGGCGCAAGCGAAAACGAGCCCACACGGTGAGATAACCGAGCTCCCTGATGGCGAACCAGAGGCGGCTGCTTCTTCCTCCACAAGCCTCATGGAGTCCTGACTCGGAAATGAAGACGACCGCGCGGGCTCCAAACAGGACAAAGGTGCCCTTATCGCGCTTAAAAAACAAGGTTAGCGGCTTCTGGCGTTATATTCAGGAATTAAACGAAGGTTGCGGTAGATTAACGGAGGATGTTTTTCCCCCGAGTCACTGGACGGGAAATTCGGGTAAGGCGACCTCGGAATGTACCGTGCCTTACACCAAGTCAACGCGAATTTCAACAAAAACAAAATCCACGAACGATCTAAACTCAGAATGTTTAGAATTTTTTCGTTGCATCCTAAGATTCTTGTTTTTTTGTTTTTTTTTTTCTTCAAGGTTTGTTTACCCAACGGTTGGTAGGATGAGGCGCTGGTTAGATCTTACCTGTCGCTGCTTGTGTGTGGAACTGGTGGTGGAACAAGGGGAGGGTTGAATGTTAGCCAGCACTGCGCCGCCGGTCCAGGACACGGGCGCTCCAGTCCCCGCAGAGCTGAGAGACTCCCCCCCGCCTCCATCTCTCTCGCTCTCCTTCCAGTCAGCGCGCAGCTCTCTCGATCTGCTCATTTCTCTTTCCAAAGAGACATCCGCGTTTTCAATCTCTCCCCTGCTCGCCGCTCTCATCACGGATGGGTCGCCCGGGCTTCGCTTCCATTTGGATTATAAACTTGAGCTGCCGAGGCGCCCTCAAACCTGCACCCGCCTGTAGCCTCTCGGGCTTGTTTTGAACGCATTTGTCTACTCGTGATGATCATGTGAAGTTTTAATAAAAGAAGTGAATATGTCCCTGAGTGATTTACGTTTTGATTGTTTTTTTTAAGAAAAAAGAAAAGCAGTTTTCTTGAATTTAGTCAAATGAACTCCCAAAGTGCATGCATGATGTAAAGAGTGGACTGTTTTGTACTTTAAACATCTTTTCGGTATGTTCAGTGTGACAGCTACATCTTTTTGTCAAGTTAAATAATTAAACCCCACCTTGTCTGTTTGTGGGCGTCACCTGCGATGTCCAATCAAGACGTTTTGATTTGGAGCAAACATGATTTTCCAATGAGCGCGCGCTGATTCGTTAAACATCAGTGCGCTGACGTGCGCGTTTCCCGCTTCCGGAAACAATACCTGGGCCAGTGCTTTCCAAGCTCTTGTCTTTTATCGCACTACAGCCCTGTCAGTACACCTCCACTGACGCCAAACCAAGAATGAACTCACTATATATATATATATATATATATTTGAACTCATTTAGCACTATCAATAACCTACTTAAATGATTCACCTGTAAACAGCATATACTGTGGCAGTATCTCCCTTCAATAAAACAACTTTTTTCATCCATTTTAAGGAAATGTATTTATACATGAAGTCCTGATGGGATGTTTGGTAATTGTAGTCAATTATAAAATGCCATCCACAGGTCATGTGACTCAAATTTACAAAACTTGCATTACCATTCAACAGTAAAAAAAAAAAAAAGAAATTCAGCAGATGCATTAAACTGACCAAAACTTAGTTAAACGTTCATTTTAATGAAAAATAAAAAGTTACAAATTCTATTTCAAATATGTTCTTTTGAACTTTCTATGCATCAAATAATAATGAAAATGTCGTCACAGAAATAAATATTTTAAAATATATATTAAATTAAAAAGTGATTTTGAATTATATTATTTCACAATTACAGTTTTTACTGTTTATTGATCAAATAAATGCAGCCTTGTTAAGCATAGGAGACTTTTCAAAACCATTAAAAATCTTACCAACTTCAACTCCGAATGGTAGAGTATACCATTCACTGACAAAAATGTAAACATATATATATATATATATATATATATATATATATATAATTATTATTATTATTACTAATAATAATGGGATTATTTGAACCTAGTGACAACCCTACTTTTTAAGTTGAAAATTTCTGTTTTTCTACATTTTCTGAAAAAAAAAAAAAAAATTAATAAAAATAATAAAAAAAAGGTCCTCTTAAAGTACCCCTGGTTGGGAATCACTGGTGAAAAGCTGCTAATTTTCAGAAAAGCAGGTCCAGCTTTAACATGTAAGGAAGCTCATAGGACTCACAGACTGGGCTGGACATTCGAGAAGGTGGCTGGAGAGGGTGGTTGCCAGGCTGGGCCAGGCCTCCTGTGAAGTCAAGCCTGCTGGAAAAGTGGATGTGTTTGCATGTGCCGATGACTAATTTAGGACAGGAATATAAGGCTTGTTTACTAATAATAATTTTAGATGTTTTAAAGAATTGTAATCATTAAACAAAGTCACACACCATAACAGACCAAGCATACATAAAACCAAATATTCATTTATACTCTAAAGTATCAAATCTTTGCAATAGTAACCTACGCTAATATTCTGTATTTGTAAGCCTATAATATTTACAGGTATGGTGTCCCTGAAACATTGAAATTCTAATAAGAAATATAAAGGCACATTTTGCATAGGCATCACCTGTTAAAACAGGATAGGATTTACATTCAAGCTGGTGTGTAGTTGACATGCTGAGATTTTTTGCACAAAACCCTGAATACATAAAATAAATAAACACCAGGATGTATAAATCCCAAATGAAGAAAAAAAATTAAGAAAAAGAAAAAATAAAGCACAATGTTCCATGAAAAAGCAAATAAAAGTAAGAAAAGATTGTGATAAACAACTATGGAATGTATATGAACAGTTTATGAATTTCAGGTGTGCATTAATTCTTAAACTTTAATGATATAAAGACATATCGATTGGTTAAGCTAAGATTTGAATGCACAACAGTTAAAAAATATAAGCAAAAGATTCTCATGTAATGCACACAGTAAGATGAATTCATAGTGGCTTGGAATCAAGAAAGACGTCCAGGGTTTTTTTAGGGTTATTTTAGTCATCCTCATCATCAAATTTCACGTTTGCATCATCTGCATCCAGCTGCAAAAGGATGACATAACATAAGCAGTCACAACATAGACAAATACTAATGCATAGGTGTGAATGAGTGTTTTTGACTGGAAAATAAAATAATGAAGGAAAAAATATCAGTATAAAACAATGCATTATGTGTACAACATGAAGGGTTCATAAAGCACTTTTTAACTTGCTTTGTTTTCTATTAAGACATGGTGAGTGAAATGTTCATGCAGAAATGCATAGGGGTCTCAGGCCTATAAAAGAGATACTTACACATTTCATTTCCATGATAGTGAAGACGTGACCGGTCATGAACATTCTCAGAGGGATCGTGAGGATCAGGACAAAGGGCAGAGCAAGTGAAAATGCACTAGATTTTATTGCCCACAGAATCATCAAACACATCACTTGGATCACAGTGTACAAGTGCATACGCATAGTGGGCACCTGTAGAGAAACAGAGAGAGAAAGAGAGAGAGAGAGAGAGAGATCGGTACTGTAGATGGATGGATCAATAGATTGACAGACTGACTACATGGCCAAACGTATGTGGACACCCCCTTCTAATTATTGCGTTTCACCATGCACTACTCAGTACTGTTCAAAAGTTTGTGGTTGATAAGAGATTTTAAATGACGTTTTTAAAAAAGGAATCTTTATGCACACCAACACTGCGTTCATTTAATCAAAAATACAGTAAAAACAGGAATATTGTGAAATATTACTATAATTTAAAATAACTGTATTCTATTTGAATATATTTTGAAATATAATTTATTCCAGTGGTGGCAAAGCTGAATTTTCAGCATCATTACTCCATTCTTCAGTGTCACACGATCCTTCAGAAATCAATCTAATATGCTGATTTGCTGCTCAAGAAACATTTCTTATTATTATCACTTTTGAAAACAGCTGTGCTGCTTAATATGTTTGTGGAAACTGTGATACAGTTTTTCCTCTTTGATGAATAGAAAGTTCAGAAGAGCAGCATTTATTTGAAATAGAAATTGTTTGTAGCACTATAAAGGTCTTTATTGTTACTTTTGATCAATGTAAAACATCCTTGCTGAACAGAAGTATCAGTTTCTTAAAAAAAACTTGGATGGAACCCAAACTTTTGAACAATAGTGCACTTTTGTCCATATAGCGTATATGTGTGTCTGTAATTAAATCTTACCCTGGTGACAAATGGAACAGGTGGGTGATGCTTTTTCGGTGTAATAAGCAGAAGCATACGGTCCCAAAGCTGGATGCCACTCAGTGAAGTGATACCCATATAGAGAAAGATCCCAAACAGAGCTGTCATAGGTATCATCTTCAGGATGGGCTCCATGAGAATTGAGACCCCTGTGGGCAAATAATTTTTAATTATTCTGTGTATTGTCAATATCATTTTGTTAAGTATAATTATGTTGATTTTATTTTTTTAATGGCAATTAAAATCTAATTGTGTTTATTAAGTATCATTATATCAGATAAAAGGCTTGGAACTCACCAACCATCATGGCCACCAAAATACCACTGACTCTTTGTTCTATCACACGTTCAATCTGAGGTCTGGGGCCTTTGGTCATGACAGTCAGGGCGTTGGCATGTGTGACAGATCTCACTGTAGCAGCACTGAGCCATGGTGCACCAAAGATAGAGGCAGCTCCTCCCAAGAACACCAAAAGGAGGAGGTCCAGATGGAAACCAGAGCCCTTGGCCATTTTTCTCTCAGGCTTACTCACGATCAGCCTGGATGGTAAGGAAAAGGTGTGAGGTTAAGGCAGTAGCTACACCAAAATTTTGACTTCCAAAATCCTTGCATGAATCTTCATTTTATCATAAATTATAGTAATATTTTACAGTATTCCTGTTTTGACTGTATTTTTGATTACATTCATGTTGGTGAGCATAATAGACTTCTTTAAAAAAAAAATTAATTGTATCTTCTTCTGTATCTTCTTGCTGTTTTCTTTATAGTGAAGATCTTCTAGCATATGTGTCTTCACCCAGTGTGAATTTAAATGTGCTCTATTCTGAATATCACACTCACGTAGTGATCTGGGACTCAAGGAAAATAAGGATGAAGACCAACAAGGCAGGAATAGCACAGGCAAACATCATCCAGACAGGGAATGGCTTCTTCTCACCAAATGGGCTGATGATCCAGCCTCTAGCAGATGTGTTGGACACGGTCAGCCCCTTTGGCACCACCAGTTTCTAAAGCAGGAAGTTAAAAAACACATTTACCATGAGACACATGAATGAAACTATCCATTCTAATGTTCAAAACCCCAGATTATTTGAATCCATTAATGCTATGGGTCCAGATGCATGAAACATGTTTATCTTCATTAGCTTATTTCACTAGGGAGTTTGTCGTGCTGGGTCAATTCTTTAATAAGATTTTTTTTTCTTTCTCAAAGCGATAAGTTCAAATCTTTCAACAATTAATTTCTTGTTCACACCAGATTTGAATTTTTATTAGTTTAAGCAAATTCTATTGAGTTTTGGCAGTTGTGTGCAAAAGAGAAAGTACAGCTGTCTACAATTTGCAAATAACTAAATGCACATAGCTTGCTGAGCAAAACTGATGAGTTGATTCTCAGTGAAACTGTCATACATAGCACAATCACAACCATCTTTGAACATGTAGGAACATCACAGCCCTACACACCAGTTCATGCAACTTGTAGTGTTACATTCTGTAAAGAGATTTTGTTTTTACTGCTGTAATTGACTTCAGATATAAGAAATGTGTACAAATGGACATGCAAATACGTACCCTCTATTTAGATGCAATATAAAAAAATGCGCTGTATACATACAAATGTGCATATTCTTTTTCTGTGTCCTACAGTATTGGATTTTCCCAGTAAACATTTACCTACTGTGTCAACAAAAAATTAGAACAAAAATCTAATTTGTATATAACAAACATTTCCAAGGTTGACCGCCATGGTAAAAACATCAACATATTTTGACCAGTACAGCTCACACAATGACACAATGAAAAAAAAATAAAAAATTGGAGCCATTGCTTTTTGAAGCATGAATTAAATATTTTGAGTTACTACCTTTTGTGTAGTTGTGACAGTTGCATTTACAAGTTAGAGTAATGTTAGGGCCAAAGCAATTGAGAAAACCTATAATAGCAAACTACCTTAAAAGATTAGTGTTTGTCAAACCTGTGTGTAGGCATCGCTGATGCTGATATCCACAGCAATCATGAAGAAGATGGCGATGGGGACACCAAAATCTCCAATCATTCGACGGATCTGGTGATGTACAAAAATTATTTTAATAGTAACATGATTTACATTTAAAGGCTTGGCTGGATGGTATAATTGCTAAAAAGCCTTTTTGTTTTCCATTATTATTGAACTTTTAAACCTATTTTTGGCTAAACTGTATCAGAGTTTTAAATAAAAAAGGTAAACTGAGCAAACTTACAGGGCCGGGAAGGAAGGTGCTAGTTTTAAACCCACGGAGATACAATGCAATGAAGAAACAGCCAAACATAAGGCACATGGACAGCAGGGCAGTGTTGGGATAGGCCCTCTCTATTATCTCATGATGTTCAGTAATATTGCCATCAGGATTCTCTGTGATGTTGATAAGCTTTTTGATAGGGTGGAAAGGGTCTTCCAAAGAAGCATTCAAGTGTTGGTAGTTCAAAACCAAAGGATGCGCTTTGAAAATCTGAGGAGAATAAAGAAAGAGAACAAAGCATAGAGCAAAAAATGAAGATTTCATGACAATTTATATGATGTGAATTAATCTAATTTAGTGTGTGTCCATTTAGAAAAAAGAATATACCCTGATAAGCTTGGCAAAGGTCTCATAGATGAAAATGAGAGAGATCAAGATGGAGAAGATCTCTTGGGTGAAGCGTGAGATGAAATGGACAAGGAAGCTCCCCTCCGCTGCCACAATCACCACCACAATGACGATCAACCACATGCCCACCCAGACACGGCCCACGATGTACTCAAAGCCATTTGACTTGCAGAACTGAATGGGAAAGATGAATGTATTTAGATGGATGAGAAAAGTCATATAGGTGGTGATAATCTACCTAATTAAATCACAATTATCACTAACAATTAGCATCACCTGAAAGAATGCCTCCTCAAACACCATCAATGGACCGGTAAACCCAATGATAAGTACTGGTTGAGCTGCAAACAGACAAAAGATGATGCCCTGCACGCAGGTAGAGACCATCAGCTCAGAGACCCCCATCATGTGCTCTGTTTTGTCAGCTGAAACATAGAAAGGGATGGAAGGTTAAATATGTTAAAGGCATACTCCACCAAAAATGGGTTTTGGGCTCCTTAAAGAAACTTTCAGTGAACAGTCCTTAAAACACCAAATATTTTTTCATAGTCTGAAGAGCATTTTAAAAATCTAAAGAAACTTTTTCCACTATAAAGAATCTTTTGTGGAATGGAAAAGTTCCATGGATGTTAAAGGGGTCATATGACGTTGCTAAAAAGAACATTATTTTGTGTATTTGGTGTAATGCAATGTGTTTATGTGGTTTAAGGTTAAAAAAACATTATTTTTCCACATAATGTACATTATTTTTTCTCCTCTATCCATAAAATGCGCTGCACACATCTGAATATTTGGGTTTAACTCTTCCGGAACAGTGTTTTAAATACAACTTAACCACTGATTTCTAGTTGTGTCCTCTTTTGGAAGGCCACAAAGTAGTTTCGCTTTCACAACACACAGCGTCTCCACGACATGGCAGCGGCAGCAACAATACTACAGCCAGAATCAAAGTTACACCTTCTTTCTTTGCGTGAATATTTGGGCGGTGTTATGCAAATCTTCCCACATCGTGACATAGACATGTGGGGGCGTGTTTAAACGAGGCGTTTTAGGTAGGCGTGGTTGACTCTTAACTTTTATAAAGAATATCTCTTTGGATTTGAGACTTTAGTCTTTGCAACTTTACAGATCTTCTTTATGCACCAAGAGCTTGTAACACTTCAAAGAGAAAGGAAAAATTTAAATCGCATCATATGACCCCTTTAAAGGTTCTTCATGGAAACAATTTTTTTTCTTACCTATCATTTCGCTTCAGAAGACTGGTTCATCAGCTGGGGTCGTATGGATTACTATCATGTTCAGTTTGAAAGCTTTTTTAAGCATCAACTTGTGTACATGGTCTTGTAACACTTGCATTACATGGATTCATCCTGTCTAGGTGGGCAGTCATTGGCCACAATAAGATAAAATGTGGACCAGATTTTATACTGCAAGTCAAATGCTAATTGAGGCTTAGTTATTTTTCAATGGTGTGATTAATCTATGCTTGCAGTGAATGTACTCACCAAGAAGTCCTCCGAATGTAATGGCAGGAGAAAGGGCAGCGAAGTAGATGAAGATGACAGCAGACAGCACCTGAGGGTCAAGTGCATCGGTAAAGTCACTAAGGTAATGCTTGTAGCGGCGTTTTATGTCTTTGACCATACCGCCAAACAGATAGCCGGTGCGGGCCAGTGGATCGTCCCGTGGCTTCTCAGGTCCAGTTGGGGCTTAAAAAAAAAATAAATTCAACAATTAATTTGAAGAAATTCCAGATTTAAGACTAGGACAGCCTAGACAGATGCAGAGGAGGACTGTTCCATGTAGCCATTATTGATAATTCTAAACTGCATATAAATACATGTTTGAAATTTGAAGGGTATTAAACCCTTAAGATGTATACAGAAAAAAAAACATACTTGTGAAGTATGAAGAGCCAAAAGCATGAACATGATTAGATCTTACTAATAAAAGTATTATTGCCTCTTCCATGATACATTTGTTGATATTTTCTTCATTTGTAAGTGGATAAAAGTGTCTGCTAAATGACTGAATATAAGTGTGAGTGTAACTACATTAAATATTCTGCAGTAATGACAGACCAGCATCCTACACTAAAATGAAATAATTATAATTAAGTCAAATTTACATCTTGAAATGACCCAGACCTAGATTGAATCGGCAGACTTGTTTTTTTTTTGCATTTTCTACACTGATTCTTTAGGAAATCTGCACAGTACTGCAGAATATAAGGAGCTGAAAGCATTACCAAATTATTTAATAAACATCAGACTATTTATATTATTTAATAAATAAAATGAATACAGTGACACCAGTATTACCATGTCATTATATATAAAGCCTGACCTTTGCCCCCAACCATGAGCCGGGTGTCATATGGGCGGACTCTCTCACGTAGCATCTTCTTCTGAAAGTTAATGATTGGCTTCAGCATGCTCTCATCCTGGATTTCTGTGGGTGGGATCACAATGCTGCAGTCCATGAAGTCTGCCATGGCATTGGTCAGATCCTTCTCGTTTGTAGCTAAGTAAGCCTCCAGAGTGAAAACCTGTTTGCAGGTACAGAATTAAGATGAGACATTAGAAAATAATTCATTTTATTTGATCTATTTAATAACATTTCAGTGTTGAGTCCATAGCTCCTCTTTACCCAGTCAGCCATCAGCGACGCCATGGCCCGGCCACTCTCATGATAGTCCATGCCACTGTAACTGGGGCCCACGAGGAAGAAGACAAAACGGACTGGAATTGGAGCTTCCAGAACCCCTTCCATCACCACTGAATCCCGTAGACGTGCAAACGCTACCACTGGTTTCTGGAGGTTCTCCACCACACCTTGAGAGTAGTGTAGAAACAAGGGCATGAAATATGCTGTATAATAAAACAGTAAGTGTTCTTAAAGAATAAAAAATGAGTGTACCATCACCTGATAAAACCACAGAGGCCTCCACACGATCAACCATGTTTCGCTGAGGAGGAACAGAACAGTCCAAAAGTCAGTAATTGAAACTGGCAGAGCATTTTAAATTTAAAACAGGTCTGGAAAATCGTAATGTAATGACCCATTTCTTATGTTTATTTGGAGGCTATAGGTTTTTAGTTGTTATTAATTTGGAAAACTGAAAGGACGGAAGGATAGTGTCACTGTGATTTTAACAAGTAGGACACCCTAGATCAAATTCTTTTGCTGGTCCTGGAAAAACAGTCCTATCAAACAATCATATTCTTCATCCTAACCATTAACTAGCCTAACATTAAGAGGGAAATGATAGGTGATAAACTATACTGTGCCCTAACATCAGCTCTACCCTTTTCTAACATTGGATTGGTTGATGGGACTGTTGCTGTAGGACGGGGTGCAGAACTCAATTACTGGAGGGCCACAGCCCTGCAGAGTGTAGTTCCAACCCTGCTCCAACTCACATACCATGTAGTTTTTAAATAAGCCTGAAATACTAGATAGATGGATGGATGGATGGATAGATAGATACCTGTTTGGTGATTGAGAATGTTTGCAGCTCTATGTCTGCTGAACCAGGGGCTGAAGTGGGCTCTAATTGACTGTGAAGCAGAAACAATGAGTCATATTTATAGTCATATTCAGCTATTAATATAGACCCCTGCGACTCACATACCAAATAATGAGGATTTCTGAAATACCCCCCCAAAAAAAACACCAACCAAAAACAAACAAACAAAAAACAACAGTTACCAGGACAACTATATACAGCAATAGAATCTGAAGTAACTGTTCTCCACACTCACACAAACACAAAAACCAACACAGACAACAAGGAGCCTAACCTGCGCTTGTGTTGCAGTATAGCTACAAGAGCGTCACGGTCAGTGGGCCGGATCTCTTTTTTGAGCAGAAGCTGTTCCACCATCTTCTGACAAATGCTCGATAAGCTGCTCTCATCAACATCTAGCAGCACCGCACCTGGTTACAGTCACCATAAAGAACATGTAGAACTAATGTGAATGTTGACTGGTCACCACAGAGCAGTGGTTCTCAACCAAGTGTTCTGGAGCCCACTAGGGCTTATATATATAAACTAGTTGTTATAAGTTACTTATTTTAATCTATGAACACTCCTAATTTCTGTAAATTAAACTAAACTGGGCAGGGGGTTCTTCAAATATTGTTGTGAACAGCGTTGAGTCAAAATGTTTGAGAACTGCTGCCATAGAGGGTAAAAAAAATCTCTTATTGTGATGTCATGTCTGCTAGTGTCATGTCATTATAACAACTGTGGAAGAAGCTTTGATTTGCTTGGTGTGTTTTTCTTGATCCAGTCAGTGAATTAACATGCTCTGGTTGAGATATGGGCCTCTGTTAATGCGTGCACCAAAAATGATGCAATTCCTGTTCTCGCTACACTTTATTTTAAGTGTCTAAAGTAGGGTGACCATACGTGCCATTTTCCCAGGACGCGTCCTGGCCAGGATTTCTATATTGCCTAAAATATCTAGGTTTTGGCTTTGTTTGCGTGTGCGGTGTATGACATCAAAATACCTCGAGAGCATTTTGAAAGCATAAGGAACCGTCTGTATGGTATTTTGATGTCATACACCGATCGGTCTGCACACGCAAACAAAGCCAAAACCTAGATATTTTAGGCAATATAGAAATCCTGGCCAGGACGCGTCCTGGGAAAATGGCACGTATGGTCACACTAGTCTAAAGGCCAAAGGAAATGTGTCACTCGGTGTCTCACCTGTGCTCATGACCTTGCGGAGTTGAATGAGGCTTTTGAATAACAACTGTGGAAGAAGCTTTGATTTGCTTGGTGTGTTTTTCTTGATCCAGTCAGTGAATTAACATGCTCTGGTTGAGATATGGGCCTCTGTTAATGCGTGCACCAAAAATGATGCAATTCCTGTTCTCGCTACACTTTATTTTAAGTGTCTAAAGTAGGGTGACCATACGTGCCATTTTCCCAGGACGCGTCCCTGCCACACCTCCCCACGAAGCTCATTTAACTCAACGTATGCCTAGTGTGGATGAGAATTTGCATTAAGATTTTTACAAAGAAGTCAAAGATAAGAGTCAGTGAATTCATGTGTTTGTGTGTTTCACCTCTGCATCTCCTCTCTTGATGGCATTGGTGTTGGTATTTCGGGCAGCTGAAGAAGGGAAATGGAAAAAGTAAGTAGTGGATCAGTAAGGCGCAGGGTTTATGTTTGTATATATGCATGTGTATGGCAAACACACCCTCTAAGTCTCTAGAGAAGGTGAAGGTCTGATGCTGCTCCACTTCCTCATAGCTGCCTTTGTGTCCCGCAGGCGTCCTAAAGAGGGCGACAGAGAGCACACACTACAACACACACACCAGGGCACAGACCTGACTGTCACAGCTCCACACACTCACCATAGTTTATGCACCATAGGGCACTGGGCAGACTGAGCTCCATCCTCTTACAAACCGACTCAAGCCATCCCTGATACAAAAAACATAAACCTCACTCTGTCCAGCCCTCCTCACACTGCCCTGGTCGGCCATAAGGGCGCGACATTTTACAACGTTACTGTCTGAAATCCTGTAAGTACTGTAATAGTAATTCACTATTTTATTTATTTATTTAAACAGAGGAGGGCACAGTTGGGCTTGTGAACATTCATCAATACCCACAACACTCCATATGAAAGTCCATCAAATAATAACGTATGATAATCAGAGATTTAAGTAAATAGCACATTTTATTTGAGAGATTTTCAGATGACAGCACTGTCTGATTAGCTTCTCCCAAAAATAAATGACTATATACATCAATAAATATAAGAACTGATGGGTAATTAAATAAAAAGTAGATTCAATTTTATTAAAACAAACATGTCTGCATAACCCCAAAATAAAAATAAATATTGCATTGCATTGCATGGTTATTTTCATGACAATTATTCTTAATAATTTGTAAAAACGTATTCTCATTATTGTAAAGTGAAAACATTAAAATTGCATTGTATTTACACATCGTGTTGTACTTTATGTACAATGTAATTTATGCTCAGTTACCTAACAACTGTAAGGTATGTTTTTTTCTTTTTTGTTTTTGTTTTTGTTCTTGTTCTTTTTTTTTTTTTTTGTTTGCTACCTTGAAATATCAGTTTTCAAAATCATGCTGATGGTACTTCTAACAAGGCGAATGGCTTTTCTTTCTCATTCTGCCCCAAATGTCTGTTCTGGGAGTTTGTAAGTTTGGTGAACGGGCACGAAATTCCGCGAAAAAGGTGGATTACTTTAGGGCGGCAACAAATGTAATTACGACAGTGCTATATTTACGACAGTAAATTCCACTCACTTACCCTTAGGGGGCATCAAAGTTGCAAAAATACACAAATTTACATACAGTTGCTTTAAATATAAAAAAGTATTAAGGCCATTTAACCTAATAAAATAATAATCAAAATGTCTGGATGTGCCGGTAATGACAGTTTGGGGATATTAATCATAATAACATTTTTTACAATCATTACTGGTCCTAAAGCAGGCTTAATTTATTTTGTGTAAAATATTTATTCTTATATATAGATTTATTGATTGATTGATTGATACAACGTGACTAGGGCAGGATTCTTAAGCTGTGGCTGAGAAATGCAGTGAAGCGGATACAACTTTATTTGCATTTTTCTATCAATGTGTGTTAAGTGTGTGATAGCCAAGGCCTACTCACAAAGTGAATGGAGATGGTAGAGGTGACTCATTGTCCTCATAGGACATGTCGTTGTCCTACAGAGAAAGAGAGAGAGAGAGAGAGAGAGAGAGAGAGGGAGAGAGAGAGAGAGACTGTTTAGTACACTTTATGACTTATATAAATGTAATCTATGGATGATCTATTGTACATCAACTACATGTGCTTTGAGATGCTCTCCTCACCCCTTCAAACGATACTGCTTCCATCATCGAGACTGTCTTCTCTCTGTCAGGACTCACACATAACCTTATTCACACAAAGAAACAAAATAACACAGTCAGACTGTAAGAACTGCACACCTGCTACAGGCAGTGGTTAGCATTCATTCATCTACTCCCATTTATTAAAGTGTTCTACAACATAACAAATGAATTTCAACAAACTCTATGTTTGACTAGTATGAGCTTTACCAAGAAAATTTGACTTCAAATGATTTCATAAAATATTACAGTATATTTGCAATAGCATACATAAATATGAATTATGAAAACATATACAGTTTTTGATGTTCTGTATGTCTTTGACTATTTAATTTAAGTAAAAAAAAACAAGGCCTCTGTTTACAAGCACTGAGGTTTAGATCACAACTCAGTTTTCGTGTCTTTCAGAGGCTCAAAACTGAGACTCATCCTGAACTAGCACAAGGGTGTGTAAGAGCCACAAACAGACAATTAGCTGAAGACTGAACTTCTATCATGTGATAAGAACTCTTCTGTCTGTCATGGACAGAGGCAGATAGAGTACATCAGAGGGGTTTGGTGAAGTCTTGGCGCTTCAAAACTCTCTCTACTACTTCAACAGAATAATAGATGGTAAACACAAATGTTTTCCTCACTGAACAAAAATATGATTATCTTATCAATGTTTATGAAATTACTATGAAATGTAAAAATATTTCCAATGTGTTAAAGTTCATTCAATTCCGCAATAGTTGGGATTTGGGATTTGTGCTAAAAACTGTGAGCAATGACAAATCTAGTGGATGGAGAAGAACACTGTTTCCTAAAATTGTTTATTAGAATATGACCATCTATATGTTAATTACGAAGCCTATATACAACAAATACACTGAAGAAAGTGTTCAACTTCAACAAACTAAATACACCAGACTGTACACTGAAAAAAATGAAAAACACTAAAATAAATTGGTATAGAAACAATTTTCATTGTTTCTATAAATTGCTAGTATATTTCACAATTACAAAGAAACAGCAAGTAACACCACGAAGCAGAAAAACTGAAATAGTATTTACTTGTAAAACAGACTCAAATAATCTTTGTTTTATTACTACTTTGAAAAATCGTTTTTTGCAGTGTACCTTTAGCAGGTGTCCCCCTGTCCGCAAGTGACCACTCTCTCATTTTAACCTACTGTTTTCATTTGCACCCACTCAGACCTTCTAATAAACACTTCATTTGGCTGTTTAACAGAGCACAGCACACCCTTACCTGAGCCCAGGTGGTCCTGGCGGGTCTCGGTGCTGGGTTACCGCGTCTACACTTTGAGTGCCCAACTCAAGACTGACCTCGGACCGATTCAAAAAACATGGGTGGAGATGGAGGGGTAATGGAAAAAGAGAGAAAGACGTAAAGTCACGTAGTGCATGGCAACCCGAAAAGCAACAGCATGTGTAGAGCACCCAGGGGTGGGAGGGAGTGATAAGTCAAGTCAAGTCAAGTCAAGTCAAGTCTGCTTTATTGTCAATTCTTCCACATGTACAGCACATACACACAGAGAATTGAAATTGCGTTACTCGCAGACCCTTGGTGCATACAGATAACACTAACAGTAGAACATAAATACAGATAGATACAGATTAAAATATAAAATACAACTATACAATTATACAAATAAGGTAAAATGTAAAAAAATATATAAAGCAGCACAAGGCGCATGGCAGATAGAGTGCAAACCAGTGCAGTAAACAACAGTGCAGATATAATGATTGTAGTGCAAAAGAGCTTAAGCAGGAATACCCCAACACTAACACCACTCCCAAAAACAGTCACCCTCGACCCGGTACAAGACAGAACATAGTAAGAGAGGGAGAGAGAGTTTAATAAGCAAAGTACAGTTACCTGTGCTAGTTAATTCTGGATACTTAATAAACAGCTTCAATAGGCATTGGTTCATGTGAATTGTGCATTAAGGCTAGTTCCTTAGGTAAAAAGGTATCTGCAAAAAACATTAATATAAAATATAAATAACCCATTGTTTATGCCACTAACAGAAAACAGTTAATCTGAATAAAGGCCAAATTATGACACAGAGAGAGAGGTTTATGTGGAGTTTTAATGTGGAGCTCATCATAAGCAAGGCAAATGAATCAGCAAAACAGCATCTTGCCCTCTGACGTCAAGCTGCATAGAGATTTGGGATTCCCTTCATGTAGGGTAATGGTGGACACCCCTCTAAAGTTGGCTGGGGGGGGGGAATGGGGTTCTTTAAGGGGTTTCCCCCTCCTAGGCCCTCACATCAGTTTGATATGTCCCGTGTCTTACTATTCATTGCTACTCAGGACACTAAACCTGGCACACATAATTTGATAGATTTAACTCTGTTTAGGGTGTAATGCAAAAGAAAGTTGAAAATATAACAGTTTTATTAAAAATGTTTCATTAGTCATCAGCCGATTTGTATGTTGCCATTCATCACATTTACATTTTAATGGACTATATAGAAGAAAAAAAAATAGATACATTTTGGTTTTAAATTAATATTTTTTTTTTATCAAATGCTTTATGCATTTTCTAAAAATGCATATTTTGTCTTTATCCCTCACTTTCTGTTCATTTCCCCACTTAAAAATAACGTTAAAATCTTTTTAAAATAAAAAATAAAATAAGTTTAATCTTTCTGACATCATAAGTGAGGGCATCGTAACAGTGTTTTTGATCACATGGTTCTAACAGATTATGTTTTGCTTACAGCATGTCTTTACACTTACATTTGCCTTATCAAGCTTAAAATTTCAGCTCTGGGGGAAAAATCACAGTGATCTCTTTTTGTTTTTTTCTTGGCAAAAAGTACAAAAATATTGACTTTCAATGAAACGTTCTCAATTATACCCTATGTGATTTATTAGTGAAAGTACCAAAATTTACTCATTTATATTTAAATATATTTTTTAAAACCAACTATGACAGAGTAGAAATAATGCCATATATTTAGGATTGTGGGGGAAAAATGTTGACCCAACTCTGAATTAGTGAGAACCGTCCACTATTTTTACAGCAATTTTGGCCATGGTACATTGGGTATGAGGTGAACATGGATGGGAAAATGATTTTTGAAAGAAGCAGTAACCCGGCACCAACACATTATCAACACACGCATGACCCCATGACTGTTTACCACTGCGCTCAAATTGACACAAGCTTTCAGACACAAACATGCAACTTATATCTTACAATTCATACGAACAACTAATACTCATTTTCAATATTTCAATACGAAACAACAATTTATGTGACTGAATGTGATACATTACCTGAAACATGGAGATGGGGGTTGTGTGGTCAAGGGTCTCAGGCTGCCATTTAGAGTTTGAAGGTTCAATCCCAAGTGACACAGATTCAGAAAACAGAGCACTTCTGACATCCTCTTGTATCATTCCCAATGTGCCCTCAAGCAAGGCAGGTTGCTCTAAGACAACCGATCCTGCTCCTGGAGAGCCACCTTCCTGCAGGGTTTAGCTCCAACCCCAATTAAACACATCTGAACCATCTAATAAAGGTCTTCATGATTACTAGAAACCTTCAGGCAGGTTGCAGCAAAACTCTGCAGAAAGCTGGCCTTCATGAGCAGGACTGGACAGGTCTGTCCCTGCAATTATTATGCTGCTGTCTTGACTGAGAGCTGAAAACTAAGAAAAAGACAATGCCAAATAAAAGGAAAGAGTTATATAAATAACACTCACTCCAACATACAATGAATACTAATAATATACAGTCAACTTATGATTTACCTAGTGTTCATTTAAAATAATATATACATTGTAAAAGTCCATGGGGAGGAATACACACCTTTATACCAGGTGCATTAGAGCACATTTTCACTGGGGACATCAGGCAATGATTACAGTTCACTGACAACACACAAATGATGTCAGCATTCACGTGGCTAGAGACCTCTCAGGAGTAAAAGAGTAATTAATGCTCAGTCCTGCAGTTATGACCTATTAAAGGATGGAATAACTGCATCTCCAGAGGAGCATCACATGACCCGTGAGCAATAACTGAACCCAAGCGCCCTGTTGCATGATTACTGAGCCAGTCTGAGAGGAAGTTTTCTTTATATAGTGTGTGTAAATGCTACGGCAGGTTTTTGTCACTTGTAGTTTAATATTATAAAAAAAATGTATGTTTTCTGCTTCTCTGTTATTGTATACACCCTATTTTGGAACGCGGAAGTAGGCAGTTTTTCTGTGAATGTGATTCATTAGCCGCTACCTGAAAGTGCAGTAAACGGTAAATGTATTTGCGCTACAAACAAGTGTGTTTATGATTACTACAATAAAATAAAATGATAGAAATGATAAAACAAATACCAGTTTGCAATATCAAGCAGCATAACGGACTGTTTTTGTACAGGACAAATAACTGGAAGCAAATGACTCTGGAAGTATCGCACATTCCAGTTACAAACAGCCGCACTCGCTTCTATTTTAGAAATAAGGTGGATGAAGCTGTTTAGTAGAAATGTGAGTATTTACTCTAACAATTACATTTTTACTCTAATAATTACATTTGTTTACAAGTTGAAATGCAACTTGAAATCTGAAATTTGATTTGATTCGATTACACGTGATTATTTTGTTGGACTACAATTTAGCCAATTTAAGAACAGATAACTGTAACATATTTAGATATAAGTTTAGCAAGCGCAGGATGCATCAGCCAATGAATTCACTCAATTATTAACCAATAGGTTTTAATGAAAGCAAAGATGATATAGGTTTTAATGAAAGATGCCTGAAATGTACAAATATTAACAATAACCAATTTTCAGTTCAGGGGTTGTCTTCAAATGAGAAACTTTGAAATTCAAAACAATACATCGTCATCAATATTTTCCAGATATACAATTAGACCAATTACCTCAAGCCTTTGAGGTAACTGACTAAATCACACTGATGTTGATATTCAGATGAAATGACAAAATGAAAAATAGCATACATTTATCAAAAGTGTTCAGATGAGATTTTGT